AAAGAAAGAAAAGAAAGAAAGAAAGAAAGAAAGAAAGAAAGAAAGAAAGAAAGAAAGAAAGAGGGGCACCTGGGTGGCTCAGTCGTTGAGCATCTGCCTTCGGTTCAGGTCATGATCCCAGGGTCCTGGGATCAAGCCCCACATTGGGCTCCTTGCCCCGTGAGACGCTGCTTCTCCCTCTCCCACTCCCCCTGTTTGTGTTCCCTCTCTGGCTGTGTCTGTCTGTCAAATAAATAAATAAAATCTTTAAAGAAAGAAAGAAAGATAGAAAGGGAGGGAGGGAGGGAGGAAGGAAGGAAGGAAGGAAGGGCCTTGCTCTCAAGGATGTGAGAATAGACATAAGAAACACGGAAAAAATGAAACAAGAGCTACTACTGGGAGATCCACAGAAATAGCCACATTTACCTGGCCACAAATTTCCACCCTGAAAGAGGCCCCTGGGGAGATTTGGGGAGCAGCCTGAGCTGCTTTCAGCTCCCCTTCCTGGTCACTGATAATACTTTTCTTTTTCTTTTTAAGTTTCTTTTTTTTTTTAAAGATTTTTATTTATTTATTGAGAGAGAGAGAGAATGATAGAGAGAGAGCATGAGAGTCAGAGGGAGAAGCAGACTCCCTGCTGAGCAGGGAGCCCCATGCGGGACTCAATCCTGGGACCCCAGGATCATGACCTGAGCTGAAGGCAGTCGCTTAACCAACTGAGCCACTCAGGCGCCCCCACTGATAATACTTTTTCCAAACTCCTTAATATAGTCATTTCCTGCTTGGGGGTATCAAATTCTACAACTTTAGTATCCATTATGTTCATCAAAAACCTAACACAGCATCATGGTTAAGAACATGGACCCTGGAATCAAACTTCCCATGTTAAAACCCTGTTCCAAAGCTTCCTAGCTTGGGTGACCTTGGCAAGTTACTCATCCTCACAGAACCTGCATTTCCTCATCTGTAAAAGAATATTATAACCTACTTCCCAAGATTATTGTGATGATTACACTAAATAGTACTAAAAAGGCACAATGGTGCCACAAAATAGTAAATAGTAAATTTTAGCTCTGATTTTTCCTAAGCTTACTTAATCTTTTTTTTTTTTTTAAGATTTTATTTATTTATTCGACAGATAGACAGCACAAGCAGGCAGAGTGGCAGGCAGAGGGAGAAGCAGGCTCTCTGCCGAGCAGGGAGCCGGAGGCGGGGCTCGATCCCAGGCCCCGGGGACCATAACCCGAGCCGAAGGCAGCCGCCCAACCGACTGAGCCACCCAGGCGCCCTTATTTGGATTTCAAAAAAAAGCCCTCAAAGGGGATTTGGTGAGGATGTGTGGCCACTTTAGGAACATTTTATCCTTCTGTACCTCTGTTCCCTGTCACTTTCATGCCCCTCTTCAGTTCTCCTGATCTCTTCAGGGCCCTCCCCAGTACCTTGACATGGTCGCACATGGGTCCAGTGTGGCTGCCAAAAGCCTGGTACCAGAGCACGAGGATTCTTATCTTGGGTGAGGCCACTTTCCTTTCCTGTTCCTGGGCTTCCCTTCATTGCTTGGGTTCAGGCCACCTAAGTACTGCGTGTACTCATACATGGAAGAGAGATCACAGGAGACTGGAGTCCCATACTCTGGGGTAAATCTAGAAATTAGGGCGCGACAAAGAAGCCTGGTAAGGTAAAGATGCAGGGGTTGCTAGCTTTTGCTTCAGAGGTCTAGCTGTTTAACAGGCCCTGGGAGAAGGCTGAGAGAGCCGTTGTCTGAGTAAGGCCTGTTCACTTCTTTAAAGAAGTATAAGCCGGGCCGCGACTGCTCCTCTGGTCTGCGTGACAAACACAAGACAAAACAGGTGTGCAAATAAACTATGAACTTAAATTCCTAAGAGTTGTTAGAGAGTCCCCCTCCACAGTAGGCCCCTTTCAGAGAGCGGCTCCTTTAAGAGGCGGGCCCCATCCTCGCTAACAAAGGAAGTCCCCGCCCCTGGTTGCCAGGGTGCTCTATGGCGTTGCATTCTCATTGGTGGGCGACGGTGGGTGAAGCGCCCAGAGACAGCCATTTCCAACGAGCTGGCGGGGGCGAAAGATGGCGACGCCCCTCGGGTGGTCGCAGGGGGGGTCAGGATCAGTGTGTCTCGCCTTCGATCAACTGCGGGACGTGATCGAATCTCAGGAGGAACTGATCCATCAGCTGAGGAACGTGGTACGCAGCCAGAAAAGCTGGGGGAGAGGCCAGACTGGACGCCTAAATGGAGGGGGCAGGGCCAAGCCCTGTCCCGAAGCCATTGGCGACCTTAGAGCACCTTGCCAATGGCGTCATCAGGAGGAGGCGGGGCCCAGATGTGTTCTAGGTGGTAGGGGTGGAGCCAAAATGGGGCAAGGTCTTCATGAATATTTACCAGGGAATTTAAATCAAAATCAAGTTGTTTTCTACTCTGATTGTGTAAGGCCTGGTAGTTATGTCCCGGTCTATTCACCGAGCCTCACTTTCCCCATTTCTAATTGGAGATGACTTCGTTGGCTTCCCAGGGCCCTCAGGTGCAGGCACTGAAACTATAACATCTTTTCTATTGTGGACATCCCCTTTCCTGTGTCTAATGCAGCGCCATGCTGAGTGCAGTAAGCACAGGTTTGTCCCTTACACATGTTAACTTAAGGGCTTCTGACCCCTTTATGTCCCTTTGCTTTTGCCTTCTCAAGCAAACCCTCGTTCGCGAGTTCAAAACATGGAGTCACAGATTACCTGGCATGGTAAAATCCTGGCCAGTTGGAGTTCATGGTTTTTCCCTTTTTTTTTTATATATATCTTGATAAGAAGGTCGTGAGATAGCTCCATCTCAGAAACAAAACTGACTTAACAACTATTTCTCACTCTAATGGGTGTGTGCAGCTCTAGGCACTGAATTACCTGCAATTCCCTGAGGGTACCCAGCTCTTTTTCTTCGCAGCTGGCATTTGCATGTGTGTTCTCACCCGAACAATCTTCTATCCCACCCCTTCTGGCCTGCCCCTGTTTAGCAGTCAGATGTCCTGTCTGATTATCCTTCTCTGGACGCAATTCTGACTTTTCCCCAGGCCAGGGGCCTCCCCTGAGCACCACAGCCCTTTGTGGTTCTTCATCATAGCACACACCATGTTAGAAGTGCTGGCCATGAGCTATCTCCTATATCAGACTGGTTGCTCCTTGAGGGTAGGACCTAGAGCTGAGCCTGTGTGAAACTTGTGGAACCAAATTCTCCCTTCTCAGAGCCCAAGTCTCATCCTAGATGCCGTGGGTATCATCCCACTGTCTAACCTTGGTCCTGGTCCCTCCCTAGAGAGCACCCCTCCCACTCCAGCCCCAGGCCCTCCCTGAGCCCGGCTCTGTTGCAGATGGTCCTCCAGGATGAAAATTTTGTCAGTAAGGAAGAGTTCCAGGCAGTGGAGAAGAAGCTGGTGGTAAGTAATGGCCTCTGCAGGCTCCTAATCTTCCCGCATTTCCTGGGATCCCTGTGGATGGGCACAGTTACTGAGTATTGGCCTCTGAGAGCCTCCAGCCCTAGTAGTGAGAACAGAATCTTCCTGGGTCCTGGCTTCCATGTGCCTCTCTGAGAAATAGAGCTGGTTAAGGGAACTGAGGAGACCCAGGGTGCCTTGGGGTTAATGAGGTCACTGCTGCTGCCCCTGCAGGAAGAGAAAGCTGCCCACGCCAAGACCAAGGTCCTCCTGGCCAAAGAAGAGGAGAAGTTGCAGTTTGCCCTCGGAGAGGTAGAGGTGCTATCTAAACAGCTGGAGCAAGAGAAGCTGGCTTTTGAGAAGGCGTGAGTGGGCCTTGGTAGGGGGGGTGAAGGGTTGGGGGTCCAGTCTGCCTGTCAGCCTTCCCACCCTTTCTTATCTTCTCCACCCAGGCTCTCCAGTGTCAAGAGCAGAGCCCTGCAGGAATCCAGCAAGAAGGACCAGCTCATCACCAAGTGTAATGGTAGGCGGGAGGCCCGTGCCCCCCACCACGCTTACATGCATGGGCTCTTCCCTAACAGCCTAGTGCCCGTGTCCAGGGCAGGGTTTCACCCCAACTTCTGCCCCCGGCTGAGGATACAGGCAGGCCCAGGCGGGCCACACCTTCGCAAATGCCTTCAGGGACCAGGCAGGCCACGGAAATGAGGGAAGCAGTTGGTGTACAATATTCTTCATGGCCATAAAAGAACGGGCTTGCTCCCATTTTTCTTGAAACAAATGACCTTCTTAGTCCACCTTTTGTTTTCCCACTTTTGATGGGTATTAGAAATAGTGTACTTCACTCATAACTTATAAGAGGAACAACAGGGCAAGCGCAGTTCTATTTGGGAGCTGACCCCTAGTGTCAGGGTTGGGGACCCAACAGGGAGGAGTGGGGACCGTGGTGATGGGAAAAGCCATGCCACCTCTCAAGGGCTTAGTGCCTCTGCCGTGGGAATGGGGGCCCAGTATTGTCAGATACTTTTTTTTGTTTTTTAACAAAAACTTTTCTGACTTTTTAGTGTTGGCAACTGATTTAGAAATTTTAAAACTATTGTATGGGCCGAGTAGAATATGTCTGTAGGCCATTAATTTTCATCTCTGCTCTGTACCAGATGTCTGTGGCCACTTGTTGGCTCAGTTGGTGCTGTGAGATTGGGGGCACTTTCTGTCAGCCATCCAGTGTCCCTAGATCTTAGGACCCCCTTTTTAGTTTCCCAGGACACTAAATTCCCTTTACCTATTCATATCTATTAAGAAATAGATATGAATTCCATATGCAACCTGCTTCATGCATTACAGCCGATTTTGAGTAGGCCAAAGACCAGAGCCCAAGTCCAAAAGAGATTCAGGGTCCCTCCTGATGGGCTGCCACCCGGAGTCTTGGGCACCCCGTACCCATCAATCCAGCCCTCTGTCTCCCTTGGTGAGTACTCTCACTGGTAAGATGCCAGCAGACTGATGTCTTGATCTGACTAGAGGGGCTGACAGGCCCCATGGCTGTTTGATCAAGGGCTCCCATTGGGGCCCCCTGGGGCTCAACAGGTAGTCACTGCCTTCATACCCAAGGCCACTGGACCCCAGCCCTTCCTCCCTACCTATTCCCCCCCATTTCCCTAAAAAGAACCTAGACTTCTTTCCTGGTGGTGCCAGAGCATTCCCTAGAGATTAGTCAAGGCCACAGGGCTCTGCTTGTGCAAGGTGCATGTGTGTATGCGATGGGGATGGAACCTGGCTGCCTCCCCCCAGAATGTCCCAAACCCCTCTAGTGGAACACAAGCCTGAGCAAATGTCATGACCTGAGCCTTCCCCTGGCCTGTGCCCTCCCCACCCTCCAACCTCCCTTTATGTGGGTTTAGTTTGGTTTTTACACTTACATAGTTTCTTATTTTTCTCAAAGGGATTTTCTAACCATTCTCTCATGAGGTGCTATTTATTTTAAATTTATCTCTCATTCGTTTTAAAAGATTCATATAAATTTCTGATGCCTTTTCCCAAAAGAACTTCACAATCAATCAGTCTGGGTGACCTTGGGAAGAAGGTTCAACAGTCCTGGTTCTGTGACCACATAGCTCATTTTCATTCTCTTCCTCCTCCTGTGTCTTTGCCTGTCTCCTCTTTTCTATGCCATGCCTTAACTTTTTACCATGCCTTTTCTTCTGAAACCTTCAATGCTTCAGCATTTCTGCATTTTTAGAGTTTGTGTTCATCCAGTCTTTCAAGGCAATGAGATCAGAATTTTCCAGGGCTCCTCAAGGGACAGTTCATATAAATGAAGCACCCTCCAGATCCCTACAGCCTCTTTCAATTTTGATACAAGACACAAAAATCATCCTTGCGTCTAATGAGCACTTAATGTGGGGGTAAGCTTTGCCACCACTATCTCCCTGGGAGCTCCTCACGCCCCTGTGGAACAGGGGCTGTCCCTGTCCCCATTACAGATGAGGAAACGGGTCTAGAAAAGGAGGCAACTTGCCCAAAGTGGTAATACTGTCTCATCAATATTAACACTGTTGAAACATTGCCTTGTTCTGTTCTCTGACCAGTTTCTGAGTCTTAACTCTCTTTCAGGAGCTGCCTCCTTGAGGGTAGGGACCCTGTCTTCTCCCCTGAAGCCCTAGCACAGGGCTGGGCATCCAACTGGCCCTTAGTAGGTCTGCTGGGATTGAGATGACTGAACTAAGTGATATTTCTAAGTCCTAAGCCCCCAGAGGCTATCCTGTTCATTCATTCCACAAATAAATTTGTTGTGCACCTTCTCTGTGCCAGGTACTATTTTAGACCTTAGGGTTAAAGCAGTAAATTTAAAAAATCTTTATCCTTATGGATTTATGGATATGAATCCCCATAGGGAAGAAGACAAGTGAGTAAAATATATGGTATGTTAGCTGTAAGGGCTAAGAAAAGCAAGCAGGGATAGGAACTATTAAGAGGGGATGTACTTTTAGATTGGGAAGGGTCTGGCCAAGGAGGTCATATCTGTACAGATCGGCAGGAGTTAAGGGCAGGAGCCGTTCATCTTCCTGCCTTTGGGCAGCACTGTCCACCTCTCTGCAAGGGCTTTCGTCTGCCCTCACGTGGGTCACCTGGTCCAGAATAGAATTGTGAAATCACTGACACATCATCAGACATTGCGCCCCTCAGCCACCATCCTGTCAAAACTCCATAATAAACTCATTCTTATAAGGTGTTAGCAGCTACTTGTGGAGAACCCCTGGGTGGGGGGAGCCAAGTTCTTAAAAGACCTGTAAGGGAATGAATGCCTTATCTCAGGAAGGAGCCCGTGGGATGGGAACCACCCCTCCTCCCTGCCTCTCTCCCCCACAGAAATTGAGTCTCACATTATAAAGCAAGAAGATATACTTAATGGCAAAGAGAATGAGATTAAGGAGTTGCAGCAAGTTATCAGCCAGCAGAAACAGATCTTCAGGTGAGGGGTCTGGGTGGGCCAGGCTGGGGGTTGTTGATGGAAGTGGGGAGCCAGCTCTCTGGCCCCTACCCTAGACTGCCCCCAGCCCATGCCCAGCTGGCTCCGTTGCAGGAATCACATGTCTGACTACCGGATCCAGAAGCAGCAGGAGAACTACATGGCCCAAGTGCTGGACCAGAAGCATAAGAAAGCCTCAGGGACGCGTCAGGCCCGGAGCCACCAGCGTCCCAGGGAAAAATAAAATGGTCCTCACCTTCCGTTCACTGGCTGTGATGCCCGACCTCTGCCTTCTCTGCTCTGGGGGTTCCCATCCCTATCCTTCCTATCCCGGCCCCTGCCACCACAGGCCTCACCAGTGACCTGATTCCCAGGGAAGAGGCAGGGGAAGAAGCAGAAGGTGCTCTTTTTTTTTTTTTCCCTTCCTGCCTGCCTTCTGGAGGGCCTTGGTGATAGAAGGGAGAATCAAGTTACCAGGGACTGGGTCGGGGACAGGCCTTGGACCACCACCTTCCAGGCCACTCCTGAGCTCAGAAAAGGATGATGCTCAAGTCTCCAGCCCCTGCCACTTCCTTCCCTCCCTTGGGTAGTAGGGGGAGGGGAGGTGTGGGGGTGTAGCGTAGGGGAGGACTACTTTGTTGTCTAATAGGCACTGTCCTTCCTACTCTTGGTATTTAATCCCCTCCCTATGTAAACAGCTCTGGTTACCCCCGGTTACCTGTAAACACCCCACCCCACTCCCAGTGCCCTGGTAAATTTAACTCTCCCAACTTGGCTATAGAGCAGGAAGGGCTGTGGGGGGGGGGGTGTATGTGGGGGTGTGTGTGTGAGTGTGAGAAAGAGAGAGAGAGAGAGAAGCCCTGACCAGAGACATCAAAGGGGGTTCCAGGCCCACAGTGAATTTGGGAAATCCATTTCCATCATATAACAAGAATGTTATACCTGTGAATCACACTTGTACCCTCTTACACTTCCCCCAAACAGAGGCTTGACTCTTCACAAGGGGAAAGAAGGGAAAAGGACAATGCTCTGTCTGTTTTTAAGTTGGGACAACAGTCTCTGAAGGGGCAATGACTTGCTAAGGTTACATATGCAGGGCTAGATGATGGGCAGGTTTGATCCTTTCACAAGGCATCACTGATGGCTAGGTGATCAGGGGGACACACCCAGGCAGGAGACCCACTGGGAGGCTGAGTCAGATTTGTGAAGTCTAGCCTAACCTGGGTCAGTGTGAGGGTGAGTGCACGGGAAAGGGGGAGGTGCTGGTGCTTTTGCTCTAAGGCCAGCCAGGGCCTGAATCATAGCAGGAACTTGAAGCCAGAAGTTTAAAGGCAAATGGTGCCCATTGTCATTATCCCAGGACAGTGACAGGTGGTGCCTGCTTCCCCACCAGTGCCTGTCCCCAGGGTGAGTCCTGAGGTGGTGGGGGCTGGAGTGAGGGCCTTGCAAGTGCCTAGGGGAGCACAGAGCTCTTTCTGCCTCAGAGGGGCTTTAGAGAGGGGGCTACAGCTACCCCAAAGGGTCCTAAGAGACCCCACATCAGCATCTAGGGCTTGTTCTAGGTGCCAAGGCCACCTGTAAAAGCTACAGCTATCCACTCCAGCCCCTTCCAGTATGTTCCCACTAAAGGCAATAAGTCCAGCCAGGGACAGCACCTTCCTGAGGCCCTAGCACTTTTGGATTTGGGGGAGCCCTCCAAGCAATGCTCCTCCATCAGAGATTGTGGGGTGATGGGTCAAGGAAAAGTGGTGAGTGCACCCTTATGAACTCTAGCTGGGACAAGTGATGAGAGGGCCAGGGAGAAGGGGTGCACTGGGGTGATGGGAAGACACTGGGGGCTAAGGGGAAGATGAAATTGCTCAGAAGACCTGAGTTGCCCGACCCAAGTCTGGTCCTGGTCCCCTGGCTCACATTCTGATCCACACACCATGGTGCTTGACCTCAGGCAGGTGCCTGCTCAGCCTGTTTCCTAGCCTGTGAGGAGCGGAGTTAGGCCTAGCTCCTGGCTTCCAACTGGACACCTGCCCATCCCTCACCTCCCTGTCAGCCCGAGGCTGGAGAGCCATCCTAGGCCTCTGGCCCGCACCAGAGGAGAAAGTTAGAAAAGTGAAGCCCAGGGCCCAAGGCTGTCCCGTTGGCGACGCCACCGATTCGCGAGGGGATGCGGCCGCTTTAAGGCGCGGTGACCCCACGACATCTGCGGGCGGGGCGGGGACAGTGCGGGCGTCCGCGGCACCGGCGGAGGCGAACGTGAGGGAGGTAGTGCGCGGCGTCCAGCCCCACCATGCTGACCGCGCTCGCCCGGCCAGCCCTGCCCGGGCTCCCAGGGCAGCTGCCTGCGGCCCCCGCCCGGCGTCAGGACTCGTTGGGTTCGTCAGGCTCCTACCACACGGCTCCGGGTTCTCCGGAGCCCCCGGACGTTGGGCCGGACGCAGAGTGCCGGGCGAATTGGCCCGGGGTGGCCCCTGCGCTGGGGGCGGGCGCGCAGCCTCGCCTGTCCGTCAGCGCCCAGAATAGCCTCCAGCAGCTCGGGCCCGGCTCGGGTTTCCCGCGAGGCCCGGGCTCCGGTCCGCGGCCACCCCAGCCCCAGCTGCGCATGCTGCCGTCGGGGGAGATGGAAGTCATCTTCGGCGCCGGGGCCCTGTTCAGCCGCTCCGACGCGGCGGATAGCGAGGTGCAACAACTCACCGCGCCGGCTTTCCGCAGCCTCTCTCCGCCCGGGCCCGCGACTCCGGCTCCCGCCACACCGACGCCCCAGACCCCGGACGGTGGCTCCCGCTGGGCCACTTACCTGGAGCTGCGGCCCCGCGGGCCGAGTCCTGGGACCCCAGCGCAGTTCGAGTGTGTGGAGGTGGCGCTGGAGGAGCGCGACGCGCCCGCCAGGACCCGGACCGTGCCCAAGCGTCAGATCGAGCTGCGCCCCCGGCCCCGGAGTCCGCCGCGGGAGGCGGGAGCACCGCGCCCCCGACTGCTTCTGCGCACTGGCTCCCTGGACGAGTCCCTGGGACGCCTGCCGGAAGCCGCGGGCCTAGTGCAGACAGCCCTGGCCAGAAAACTGAGCCCTGCGGCCCCTGCCCCGGGCAGCGCCACCTTCGGGCCCACGGGGCGGCCGGAGTGTGCGACTCGGGAAACGGCCCGCAGTACCCGAAAGGTCCTGGAGGAGGCCAGGTCTCGGCCACCCCGCGTGAACTATAGTTCAGCCCCCACCAGGGCACCACGGCCGTGGCCGAGCCTCCGAGAGCGCGCGATTCGGCGCGACAAGCCCGCGCCGGGGAGCGAGCCGCTGGGTCCGGTTAGTTCCAGCATCTTCCTGCAGTCAGGGGAGAAGACTCAGGAGGCTCACAGTCAGGAACTCAAGACTCGGTTCCCGCGAGAGACTCTGGATCGACCCGTCCTGAGGGCACAAAGTCCGCCTTTCGAGTCTACGGCCCCCCGGGAAGTTCCGAGTGAGGCTGGGAGGCCAAGGAGCTCCTCCCCGCTGTGGCAGGCCCCAAATGGGACGGTACGGGGTCCACACTGCCCGTCCCCCCAGAATCTGCCCCCGTGGAATCGGGCTATTCGGAGGGTAAGTAGCCCGTCGTTCCCTGAGGCATCATCTGCATGGGGAAATCAGGATGCCGCTGTTGAGGAAACTGTCAGCAGAAGCCCTTCCCCACCGACCCTTTCCCAGTGGAATCACGGTGTAGCCAGGACAAGAAGCCCCTCCCCCGAAGCTCCTTCCTTATCTGAGGTTCCGCAACCCGCAGTTAGGAATTCCGCAGCGAGCTGTAGGAACCCGTCCCCGCCGGCCCTGTCCTCATGGGAGGCTCCAGATCGTACTAATGGGACGTGGAACCCATCTCCCCAAGAGACGTGGGATCGCACACTGCAGGGCTCATCGATGGTATCTGCTTCGGAAGCTCCGAATGGGATAGGACAAGAGGAGCTCGAGCTGCCTAGGCCGTCCGCACCCGGGACTCCCGAGCTCACAGAGGCGCCAAGGCAGTCCACGCGGGAGATGCGGGATCTTGCCTTCAGAGGCAGTCAGCCGTCGCCAGAAGTGGCTGCACCTGAGCTGCCCCTCAGTCGCCCCGTTGGTACCCTGGAGGCCGATGTGCACCGGGAAGCCTTGGGCCCGGGAGAAGCCGCCTCCGGACGCCCGCGCGTGGCCATCCCGCGGCCCCGCGACGTGCGCAAGATGGTGAAGACCACGTATGCGCCAAGCTTCTCCGCGGGAACCCCAGCTTTGGGGCTGCCTGTGCCTCCTGCGGAACCCCGCCGGGAGGAGGGCGGCGCATCCAAGACACAAGTGTTCCAGGCGCTGGGATCCCCAGCCCCAGCTCACTACACTTCTGTTTATCTCAAGGACTTTCTTCCGGTCGTGACGCACCCCTACGAGCCTCCAGAGCCGCCTCCTGACACAGTCCCCCGGGACGCTTCGCAGCCCAGCGGGGTCCTGAGGCGGAGAGCAGAGAACAGCACGGCAAAACCCTTCGCGCGCACTGAGATCCGCCTGCCTGGTGCACTGGTCTTGGGCCGCCGGCCAGAGGGAGCCGGGGGAGTTCTGGCGCGCGGTGCTGGCAGAGAGAACCGGGACGCTGAGGCCCAGCGCCTGGTCCCCGATGGCGAGGGGCGGACCAGCCCTCTAGTAGGCGCTCGCACCTCACCCCAGCAGTCGCCCATCGGGCCGGCCGGGCCCCAACCACCTCGACCACCCTGCCCCAGCTCCCCTCAGGAGCACCCTAGCTCGAGCCCTGGGATAGCACCCAAATTGGAGGCTCCCCCTGTAGCCCCCGAGCCCGCGACTGAGGTCCGGTCGTCTGTCCCGCGGGAGCCCCAGGCGTCGGCCGGGAGAACCGCCCCGCCCCAGCCCCGTGCCGCCTCGGCGCCTCCGATGGACCGGTCCCCGGAAGGCCCCTACCCGGGGGCGCGCAGGCCACCTGGGACCGCGTACGCGGGGAAGGTCCTGGTGGACCCCGAGAGCGGCCGCTACTACTTTGTGGAGGCGCCGCGGCAGCCTCGGCTACGGCTGCTCTTCGACCCCGAAAGCGGTCAATACGTAGAGGTGCTGCTGCCGCCGTCGCCCCCGGGGCCACCCCGCCGCGTCTACACCCCGCTGGCCCTGGGCTCTGGCCTCTACCCGCCCGCCTATGGGCCTCTCCCGGGCCTCTCAATGCCGCCGTCCCCCGGCCCACCGGCCTTCAGCGGCCCCCATGTACCCTGGGCCTCCGAGGCGGGGCCCCTGGACGGGATGTACTACCTGCCAGTGAGTGGAACCCCCAGCACCGCTCCTCCTCTGCTCCTCTGTGCTCCGCCCAACAGTTCAGGTTCAGCCCAGCCCGGCAAGGGGTCCTTGTTCTCCGTGTGAGGCCCCAGGGCCTGATCCGCAGGGTGTTGGGGCCTGTTTGATAGCCTTGGAGGTTCTAGCATCCAGTCCCCTGCCCTCCTTTCCTTCTATCAGCTCTTTCTTTTACCCATCCCGCCCAGTCTTCACACTGGAAGTTACCTTCAGAGAACGTATCAGACTTTGGGACTGATGGAGCTGGGACTCAGAAAGTGGCTGCCTACTTCCTCCCCCAACAAAATTGTATACTCCTTTCCCAGGCATTCCCAGAGTGTGGTGTGTTTGTGTGCGTGTGAAAGTGGGGCGTCTCAGGAGTTGTTCCTGGGAGCTGACTTGAGGGCGTGTTGGGAGTTCACTAGGGGCAATAAGAAAGAGGATCAGCAGAGGTCGGGGCTGCCCCCGGAGGTAGGGAGCTGTCTGTCCCTCCGGGAAGGTGACCCAGCTGAGGAGGAGCAGGCTAGGGAGCGCCGGTGGATGGAGGGAGGACTCTGACTAGCAACTCTGGTACTATTTGGAAGAGGCTCTGAGCCTAGGCCTGAGAGGCTGTGGGAAAGTGGCCAGCGCAGCCCTTCGGCCAGGCTGACTCGAAGAAAGGGAGCTGAAGGGACAGCAGGTGGAGATGGAGCAGGGATGTAATATGGAAGGGGCTATGGAGGGTCAGCCTGGGGACTGGGGTTGGGTGGGGAGGCAGCGGTAGTCTCCAGCTGGGAGCCCCACTTCCCATCCTCCCCTCAACCCCGGCATCTGACTTGCCTCTCTAAGCGCTCGATGCTGAGCAGGCTCATCCTGGGGCCAGGAGTGGAGGCTTAAGCCATTCACACCCAGGGTGGGGGGACAGATGAAGTGAATCATCAGGCAGGAGTTAACAAGCAGGGAAGATTGGTTAAGCCTCTGGGTGTAGTGGAGGGTGGGTTAGGGCTGGCAGTAGAAGGGATGCCATGAGGGTGGGGAGCAGGGCAAAGAGACTTGGAGCCCTCAGCTTGTTCCCCTCCCTCCGTAACAGATGTGGCAGCCACGCCCAGAGAGGGCCTAGCTCAGCAGGCTGGTCACGGCAAGGAAGGAACAGGACCTGAAGCATGTGTTCTAAATTAGAACATTGAACCTTGAGATTGCCGGAGCCTCTGAGGAGGGCTGAGAGAGATGCATGTGGTAGGAGGTGCTCTGAGGTGGGGGGGGGTCTGTGTGTAGTTCTGAGCTTGAAGGGGCGGGGCCTTGCTGAACTGGTATGTGATGTGATGAGTTTGGGGAAGAACAGTTCCCACTAGAAGCAGTTGTTAGGGATGGAGATTGATGCCTTACTTAAGTTCCAGGCCTCTGGGCACTCTGGGTCCCTGGAAGTCCCTGCCTCCCTGCCTTGGGCTGGAAGCTGACTGCGAGAGCTGTGAGGCAGATTCACCTGAACAACTTCTCATGGCCAAAGATGCTGGTTCTGATGGCATGGAGGGCCCGGGGCCCTTACTGGTCCCCTCACCTCATCCTGGTGTGCAATAAATCACTGACCTAATGAGCCATGATGCTTGGAACAGCTCGTGTAAGTTGTCTGATTTCTGATTTCCTGCTGTGACCTCTGACACCCCCTATAATGTTCTTCCACGCCTGGGTATGATCTGGGTGGAGAGGGCCCCAGGGCCCAGGGAGGGAGCCCATGTGTGTCTTTCATGCGCTGTGGCATCCTTGCCTCCGCAAACCTGCCTCCCAGGGAGGGAGCCCTAGGCCTGCCACCATGCCCGTGGACTCATTCTCCCTGGTGGCTGGGTGGCCAGTGGGGTCAATCAGGCATGGGTTCTAACTTGAGTATGGCCCTTCTGAGCTGTATAGTCTTGGATTCATCACTTCTCTCTGAGCCTTCATGTGCTCATAAAAATGACACTAACTAACCACCTCTTCCCCCAGGGTACTCAGTACAGTGCCCACCGAGTGGCCAGATCCCAGGACATGGGAGGGGTCAGCCCCCATGTGTCCCTGCGCAGGCCCAGCCCCCCTCCTTACGTCACTGTTCCCTATTTGTGAAATGGGGCTGAGTTGGCTGCAGCAGAGATCCCAGTAGAGGAGGTGCACACGTGGCATCTCTAGGGCACTGGGGAAAGGAAGAGAGTGGGAGGGGTGAGGTGTTAGTTCCCCATTGGTCTGGGTCAGTCTTTCCGGGGTGGCCCCCACAGCACACAGGCACATGCACACCTGCGCCCCAACCACAGCCCAGGCTCACTGAGCCAGATCCACTGACCATGAGGCTGTCACTGCCCCTGTTACTGCTGCTGGTAGCCTGGGCCATCCCAGGGGGCTTTGGGGACAGGGCCCCACTCACAGCCACGGCCCCACAGCTGGACGATGAGGAGAAGTACTCAGCTCATATGCCTGCTCACCTGCGCTGTGACTGCCTGCAGGGCAGTGGTCTACCAGGTGAGTACTCCCCCCCTGCAGTTCCCCTGCCCCTGTCCAGGTCCCTCCTGAAGCCAGGCCCTTCCACCAACCTCAGATTCTACCACTGGCCTTCGATTTCCAAACCCCCACCCCTGGGCCCTGAGCTAGACTCAGCTTTCCACGACATTGCATCTGCACCTCACCCAAACCTCCATGCCTCAGTTTACCCATCTCTCAGCCCAACAGAGAGCAAATAATCTGGGACACCCCACAGTATCTTGAGACCCCAGGGAGTCACCCACTTGTCCTCGCTGACTCCTCCCTTTCCAGGCTTATCCTCAGGTCTGGACTCCTTCTCCGGCTGGCAAGCCCTGGTGTATATGTGCATGTGTGCCCATGGGTTGAGTACATGAATATATGAGTATGCGTGGTCTCGAGTTCACACAGAAACCTGTCAAGCATGCCTGAGTACCTCTGTGGGGGGAGGGAATCCTATGAGTACACGTGTCACTGAAGACCGGGCTCTGTTTTTGTTTTTTTGGTTTTTTTCCTTTCCTTGTTCTTACGGTTTAAAATATGGCTGATGGGCAGGTGTGTTCTGGGGAAGGAGCTCCAGTGTTCAGGCCTACCTTCACACCTCAACATTTCCTACCCACCCACCCCATCCCAGGGAGGTGGATCCTACCTCAGCAGACCCAGTCCCAACTTTCAGAACCTGGGGGAGGGCCCAAAACTCTCCCTTGGCACCTCACACTCTCCCGGAGACCCAGTCTTCTGTCTGACCCTCCCCTGCCATTGAGCAGTCCTGAAGCCTTGGCTCTCAGCCCCTCCTTGTTCTAGATGTGGCAACATTTGGCAAAGGCAGAGGCCAAGCTTCACACCCCAGACTCAGGGGGACAGCGGCGGGAGCTGAGTGAGTCGGTATACACAGACGTCCTGGACCAGAGCTGCACCCAGACCTGGCAGGGGTGAGTCAAGAATTCGGCCCCTAGGACCCTCCTCTAGGGGTAGGGCTGATGGGTAGAGTTTCCCACTCTCCCACTCACCCCAGATACACAATCCACTAGGGCTTTTGTCCAAGGGAGGGGGCTGGCTGGGATGAAGTCTGAGGTCTGGAGCTGGGGGCAAGTAGAATGCTACGTGGCCAGGGGACAAGGTTGCTGTGTGACCTTGGGACAGGGGCTTTCCCTCTCTGGTTCTCAGTTTTCCAACAGGGAGGATCAGAATCTGCATTCTGAATTCAGCAAATGCCCCATGTGCCCAGCTTCATGTGGGGATGTATCCCTTGCTGGCAGGGCTCCCACTAATACTGTCTCCCTCTCCTTCCTACTGTTTCCAGCTATGGGGTCCAAGAAGTGAACCAGGTGAAACGTCTCACGGGCCCAGGACTCAGCAAGGGGCCAGAGCAAAGCATCAGCGTGATGATCACAGGGGGCCCCTGGCCCACCAGGTGATGATAGGGGTGTGGGGGTAGTATGGAGACCTTGGAGCCTTGATCAGCTCCCTGAGGGGCAGGCAGGGTCTGAGGCTCCTGTTGGGCTCCCCTAGGCTCTCCACGACATGTTTGCACTACCTGGGAGAGTTTGGAGAAGACAAGATCTATGAAGCCCACCAACAAGGCCGAGGGGCTCTGGAGGCATTGCTGTGTGGAGGACCCCAAGGGGCCTGCTTGGAAGAGGCGACTGTCACAAGGACAGAGCTCTAGTCCAACTCCTTCCCCTTCCTGGTCAGCCCCTGAAGAGAGCTGGGGTGTCCTCTGGATCTGCCCCGCTCCTTTCTGCAGGCTACCTGGAGGGCAGGAAGGCCATGCTTTTCTGTGCTGCCATGGCCCCTCCCTCCTCCAGCTTCAGGACACTGGGGCCATGTGTTTGTCGGGGGTGGGGTGGGGGGTAGGCCTTCCCTTCTGGACTAAAATAAAATCCAGTGACCTCGATTTCTTCATTCTTTCTCTCTGCAAAAGGTGCTTGTGGGGCTAGGAGGCCAGACATTGGCCTTTCTGCTGATGTTGTACCTAGAGAGGGCTAAATACATTTATTTCCCACCAGTCTCCCAGAGGTAGGTGAGATGTGTCATGGGTGGAAATGTGAGCGAGCTGTCAAAGGCATATGGGACTATGGTGAAACCCCAAATCCATCAAGAGAGAAAAACCGAGGAAAACTCCATGAGCAGACTACCTTGTAGACACGCCTACTCAGCCACTGCATGCTATCTGGGCCCCTCCCTGAACACTAGTCTAACTGGGTCTATTCCCAGCAGCTGCTCAATTTCTGGACTCTACCTCTGACCCCAGCTGACAGGGTTGGGCCCTAGGTGTCTGCCTGGGACTGGGCAGGGCAGGGCTCCTGGAACGAGCTGGATTCAGTATCTTGGCTCTCAGTCCTGCTCTCCCCAGAAGTTCTTTTGACCTGGGACCTTTCCTTAGCAATGGAGGAAAGCACCCCACCTGGGCCCACCTGAGAACGGGAACCTGTGGGCAGGCCGCGCTCTAACTTGTCGCTTCCTTCGTGAGTATCTCCCTGATCTGCTGAAGGTGGACAGACCTGGTAGGTGGACAGAACAGACACTCGAATCCCCAGCTGACAGACACTGAAACTGAAACTTAGAAAATAAAAGAGGGGGCATCTGGGTGGCTTAGACAGTTAAGCATCCGACTCTTGATCTAGGCTCAGGTCATGATCTCGGGGTTGTGAGCTCGAGCCCCAGGATAGACTTGGTGCTGAGGGCGGAGTCTGCTTAAGATTCTCTCCCTCTCCCTCTGTGCACCCCCCCCACTTGTGAGCGGGTGTGCTCTCTCAAGAAAGAAAGAAAGAAGGAAAGAAAGAAAGAAAGAAAAAGAAAGAAAGAAAGAAGGAAAGAAAGAAAGAAAAAGAAAGAAAGAAAGAAAAAGGAAGAAAGAAAGAAAAGAGTTGCTCAGGCCAAGTCCCAGGCTGAGTAGTGGTAGGGCTGGGAGGGGACTCAGATTCTGGGGGTGGGGGCAGGTCGTTGCTGGAGAAATAGGGGTGCTCCAGGCAGGCACTGACCCCTCCAACATCCATGAGCTGTACTGAAGCCTGGCCCCCTACATTCCATTACTTGGTTCCTACCAGCCGGAGGCCCCTCCTCCCTGGCCTTCGCCCCAGGAGAGAACCCCTCGTCTTCAGGAAGAGAGCCAGGGCCCAAGGAACCCACTGCACTGTCAGTAGTATTGGGTGTGGAAATGGGAGCGTGTGACACGGACCTGTGTGGCTCTGTGTTAATATGGAGGGATTTAGACACACTCTGTAGCACAGTCTGGGTGTTGTAGGTCTGTTTGTTTGTGCATCTGAAACCATGTGCAACGTAGCTGCCCCATCTCTATGTGGATGGCATGTGGTTTGGGTTGAACTGAATGTCCATGGCACTGTGCACATAAGTGTAAGGTGTGGGGCTCAGCCCCCTGGGGAGTAGTGGGGTGGAGAGGGGCAGGGAGGCAAGTGCTAAGGAGCAGTTCCGAAGCTTCAAACTGGTCAGACAACTTTGGGACACCCCAGAGCAAGAGCCAAGCAAGTAGAGCAGGAGACAGGCCGACAGGAGACGAGGTGGAGGCTGGACAGGAGGACGGACCCACGGCTGTAGCATGAAGCTGCTGTCCAGCTGGAGAGCCCGGCTGCCTGTGGGCCCTTGGAGCAGGGCCTGGCCGTGGGCCCAACAACCGAGAAGTAGGTGGGTCCTGGGGGGCTGGGCCTGGGGCAGCACAGAGGGGAGCAGAACCAGGAACCTTAGGCCCAATCCTCACCAGCTAAGGAGCCCCAGCTCCTCGGACCCTCCCCAGGCCCTTTCAGCCAGCTCCAGGCCCCATGGCCAGGCCAAAGGGCCTGCCAGGAGGAGAAGACAGGCTTGAGTCCAGGGCAGGCTTCAGCGGCTGTGGGACAGGCACTCAGGTCCCTGTGCTTAGAAAATTTGGTTTGATCTGGTTGAATACTCTGCTGTTGCTGTATCAAAATTCATAATACTAAACAAAAAAAATTCGTAATACTTTTGGAATGGGGGCCCCAAATTTTCACTGGGCACTGGGTCCTGCAGATTATGCAGCCAGTCCTGACAGCAGGGGCGGCGGGGGGCGGGGGGCGAGATCGTTGTCCTGACACAGGGAACAGGCAAGGCTGGGCCAGCCTGGGCAGCTTCTCCTGCAGCGGTCCCTCTGTTTTGTGCCTCTGTGATGCTGAGGGTACGTGGCCATGTGGGAAAGGCAGCCCTTTATTGAAACTAATGGCTGATTTATAGCATGCACTCAGAAGTGCAGGCCAACCTGAGTTTTTGGAATGATGTTCTAAACTCTTGCTACCTTTGTGGCCTCGGTCAGACCACATCTCCTAGATCTGTTTCCTCAGCAGTAAAAGAGGTTCCCACCGCCTAAGGCCTGGGGTTAAGCACAGGAATACATAGCAGTTGCTGGGCATGCCGTCATTCCTCATTAAGGAGAGTGACTTTGATGAGGATAATGATTAACTTGTTATTAAAAAGTGGGGAAGAGTCTCATTCAGAGTGTGACCTATTAAGGGCCACTGCCATTCTCTTCCCTGTCACCCGGGGCTTGGGGTCTATAGTCACCCCCACCCTGGCCCTCTCTTGGAAACAAGACTAGGTCCCATGCCCAGGCTCAGGCGCAGGCAGGGAAGGGCGCATGCTTGGGAGGGAAATGTGACCGAGGCTCGGGTGGCCTTTAACACTCGGGCCCGAGTTAATACGTTACCTCTGCCCAGGTCTGCCTTTCGCAATCAGAGCTACGGATCTGGTTACAGATTTACTTCGAACAATGTCTGATGTGTGGACTAAAGTCCCCTTGGCCTTCGTAAAGCCATCCCCTCTTTTCCTCAGGAACCGCTCACACCTGTACCCCAAAGATGAGGGCCCAGGAGAACCTGGAGGGCCGGACACAGGTGCTGGGGAATGGGTGGGAGCTGGGTGGGGGCAGGGTTGGGTGGGGGCTAGAGGGCCTGCTCATGTCTTCCCCCTGGGAAGGCAGAGACACAAGTTCTAATGAACTGGATTGACAGTGACTATCCCAGGCTGAAAGTAGTGATTGGGGGATGGGGTGTAGGTGGCAGAGGGGGTGCAGTTGTCAGCTTTGGGACTGGCTGACTCCAGCTTGAGGGTCAGCAGGGACCACCTACCCCACCCCCAGGGCAACCCCAAGGAACTCCAAGTGGCAAGGGTAGGACCAGAGTGTGCCCAAGAGGGCCTGTCCACGGACCTCAGCCCTCTTGGCCCTCTCCTGTCGGCCCTTGGGGCCTTCTGACTTAGGGGCCCATCCTCTGGGCCGGAATGCCCCAGTCCCAAGGCCTCCAGGAGCCAGCACAGAGGACTCATCCCTGCACAAAAGAATGTGAGGAGGGAGCCAGGTGTGGCCAGACCGAGAGACAGCTGGGTGGATGAACCGAGAGGGAGGGTGGGGGCTCGAATGCCGTTCTGAGGATCTGACAGGCCACTCAGGCCGTCTGATTGATTCTGGGGCAGAATGGACTTGGCTAGTGCCCCTCACTCCACCCTGAGTTACTTCTCTCTGCTGCCCTAGCAGCAGTCCCTGGGCTCCGCAGGGAACTCCACGAGGGATCCCACGGTGTCCCTGCCCAGAGAGCCCAAGTTTGACATGTTGTACAAGATTGAGGATGTGCCACCCTGGTACCTGTGTGTTCTGCTGGGCTTCCAGGTGGGTTTCCCTGCAGGCCCCCCCACCCCCACTCTGCATGCTCCCCAGGATCCCAGCCCCCTTCCTAGCCAACAAGTTTATCTTGGGTAACAGGAAGAGAAACCTAAGGTCAACAACAGTGACTGTCATGGAGCCAGGGTGGGAGGGGGTGTCTGATGGGGCCTGAGAGAAGATTATCCCCGGGAATATGTGTCACCTGCCAGGCAGAATGTCAGTCACAGGGAGAGGACCTACTCCACAGAAGCCACAGGAAGAACTTGGGGGCAGATTAGTACCCCGAAGAGAGAGGCGAACAGTAGCTCTCTGGGACTCCCTTGTGCGAGTATCAGGCCTGGGTGAGCACCCTGCCAGGGGCAGCACGGGTTCAGGCCCCCTGACGCAGGCATGAGGATCGTTAGGGTGTCCCTGTTTGCCTGTGAGCCGCCTCACGCCCTCCCCCCCACCCCCTAGCATTACTTGACATGCTTCAGTGGCACCATTGCTGTGCCCTTCCTTCTGGCTGAGGCGCTGTGTGTGGGCCGGGACCAGCACATGGTCAGCCAGCTCATCGGTACCATCTTCACCTGCGTGGGCATCACCACCCTCATCCAGACCACACTGGGAATCCGGTGAGCTGCCTGCCCCCACCTGTGATCCACACCACAGGACCAGGTGGTTCCTCTGAGGGCTCTTTTGGCGGGGGAGGGGGGAGCTGCTCTCTGCCCCCACCTGCTACTCCTACTCCCAAGCCAGCCTTAGAGCCAGGCAGCTGGGATCCTACCTTAGGCCCCTGAGGCTCCCCAAAGACAAGGAGTCGGTGGGTTTAAGGGAATGTACCCTTAGCTGGGCTCTCCCCCTGTTAGGCCCTACTCTGGGTAATCTGGACCACCCACTCCCAGCTTTTAGGCTCTGTGTGAGCTTCTTCAACGGCCTATCCTCCTGGGGGCCCCCTGCCCCCGAGCGCACAGCTCAAGGCTTGGGTGGCCAAAAAACGGTTGTGTGGTAGGAGGATGGAGGAAGGTTGTGAGTGGAGCTTGGATGCAAGAGCTGAGCTGTCTACTTCCTTGCACGGGGCTCCTCACAGTGCAGGAGCTGGGGCTGAGAAGGAAAGGGGGGAAGGCTGTGACCAGGGACTCCATTTGTTTTCTTCCTTGGGCCCCCAAAATTAATGGAGTCCTGCCTGCGGCCACAGTGACTTCTCTTAGCTCTGCCCTGTCCCTTGTCCCTCTGTGTCTCTGCCCCTGGGTGTGATTCTGTCTCCATCTCTCCTGTCTCTGTGTCCCTGCCCACCCCTGACCCCACCCCTGCCGCTCTGTGCCTCTTCTTCCAGGCTGCCGCTGTTCCAGGCCAGCGCCTTTGCATTTCTGGTCCCAGCCAAAGCCATCCTGGCCCTGGAGAGATGGAAATGCCCCCCAGAAGGTGGGCACACTTCTGGGGGCTGTGCTGGAGAGGGGAGGCCCAGGAGCCTGGAAGTCTGGACAACTGTCCCAAGTCCAGACACTGGGGTGCATTCATGGCAGCATCTTCTCTTCTTCTCTGTCTCTGTTCCCTGGCCATATGTGTGTCCCTGTCTCTGCTCCCAGAGGAGATCTACGGTAACTGGAGTCTTCCCCTGAACACCTCTCATATCTGGCACCCACGGATACGAGAGGTGGGTTTGCACCTGGGGTAGAAGAGACCTGGACCTGAGGAGGGGGCTGGATGGGAGGGGAGCCACTGCTGAGTTGGGGGATTCAAGGAGGCAGTCCAGGAGCTTTTTTTTTTTTTTTTTTTTTAATGCAGAGGTGATAGACTCTACATAGGGACTTAAAACTGATCTTTGCTTTTCTAGGTCCAGGGTGCAATCATGGTGTCCAGCACGGTAGAGGTGGTGATCGGGCTGATGGGGCTGCCTGGGGCCCTGCTCAGCTACATAGGACCTCTCACGGTCACCCCCACTGTCTCCCTCATTGGCCTCTCTGTCTTCCAAGCTGCTGGTGACCGAGCTGGCTCCCACTGGGGCATCTCAGCTTGGTGAGCAGGCACCAGGCCTGATCCTTGCCCAGCCTCTGCCCTTTCACCCCCTTCAGGTCCTGTCCCTATAGCCCAGCCTACCAGCCATCTTTCCTTTGTGCCTCTGCCCCCAGTTCCATTCTCCTGATCGTCCTCTTCTCCCAGTACCTGCGTAACTTCACCTTCCTGCTGCCTGTCTACCGCTGGGGCAAGGGCCTGACTCTCTTCCGCATCCAGATCTTCAAGATGTTTCCAGTGAGGAGCTGACAGGCGGCTGAGGCTGGGACTAGGGCAGGGGCTGGACCTGTGTCCAGGGCAAAGATTGGGGGCAGGTCCGGGACAGCAGAAGAGCTAGAGCCAGAGCACAGATAAGGTCCCAGTCAGGGGCTAGAGCAGGTATTGGGGCCCAGGCTTGAGCTCGGGCAGGGGTGAAGGCTGCAGCTGGGATTGTGGTGGAGGCTTGGGCTGAGGTAGGGGCTGGTTAGCCTGGACCAAGACCTCTAGGGCCCTCAGTGCTCCCCTCACCCCACCCCACTTCAGATTGTGCTGGCCATCATGACCGTGTGGCTACTCTGCTATGTCCTGACCCTGACGAACGTGCTGCCCTCAGACCCCACAGCTTACGGCTTCCAGGCACGGACGGACGCACGAGGGGACATCATGGCTATTGCGCCCTGGATCCGCATCCCCTACCCCTGTGAGCCACCCCACCTGGCCTCCTCTGCCTCCAGCTGAGACCATCTACAAGGCCCCTGATGATACCAATCCCACTGACGATTTCTAGTGTGCCAGAGTGTTTTCCTCAAAGCCTCACTCCAGCTTCACGACTCCGAGTGATCCCAAATATGCTCCCACAAGTGTAGAGCTCCCGCCCCAGCTCGAGGTCCCTTCACCCCCACTCTCACCCCCACAAACTGCCTAGTCCCCTCCCTGGCCCACCCAGTGACACTGCATCCACGCTCCTATCACCCCGTGATCCAGGTCAGTGGGGCCTGCCCACGGTGACTGCGGCTGCTGTCCTGGGAATGTTCAGTGCCACACTGGCGGGCATCATTGAGTCCATCGGAGATTACTATGCTTGTGCCCGCCTGGCTGGCGCCCCACCCCCTCCAGTACATGCCATCAACAGGTATGGCCACCTGCCCTCTCCTGTATCGGATCTTCTCAGGGGCCACTCAGCAAATGTAGGGACAGGGTTGAGTCTCAAAGGTGTGGACCTGAACTATCCAGACCTCATTCTCCATATTTATGAAATGGGGATGCTCTCATCATTCAGTCTGAGTGTTTGAGTCGCTGAGATAATGAAGCCTAAGGGAAACTATGGTTGTTGACAGTCTTCAACGTGCCTGGCCCTCCATGTGCATTCTCTTATGCAATCTACTAAGGATTCTGTAAGACAGGTACCCTTATCCCCATTTTACAGATGAGGAAATTGAAGCCCAGGGTCGCCTAAGAGAATAAGTTCTGGGGCACTGGGACTAGCGCTTGGACGTGGGCTCTTGGCTCCCAGACCTACCTGTGGCCTGGAGTGGGGAGTACTACGGACAGATAGTTGCAGCTTGCAGTCCCCAAGAAGGCGAGCAGCCCGCCTAGGGTGAGGGGGGTACCCAAGCCAAGGCAGGGGCTGGATCAAGCCCCCAACTCACCCTTTCCTTACAGGGGCATCTTCACAGAAGGCATCTGCTGCATTATCGCAGGGCTGTTGGGCACAGGCAACGGGTCCACCTCGTCCAGCCCCAACATCGGCGTTCTGGGGATTACCAAGGTGCCACAAGCCAGAGCTGCACAAAGCCCCAACTCCATTCCTCGGCCCGCAGCCCCACCCCATCTTTGAACGGGCCTACCCTGCAAGAAGCCTGGGCTCTTTTGTGCTCGCTTTCTTAACAGGCCCCCCCGCCCCCTGCCGCCCAGCTCTGCTCCCAGGGTCTAACCCCGCCCCCCGGCTCCCCTGCAGGTAGGCAGCCGGCGCGTGGTGCAGTATGGTGCGGGCATCATGCTAGTGCTGGGCACGATTGGCAAGTTCACCGCCCTTTTTGCTTCGCTCCCTGACCCCATATTGGGGGGCATGTTCTGCACCCTTTTCGGTGAGTACCGCGCGCGGGCCGGGGGTCTCCACACGGTCTGGGAGTGGTGGAGCCCGCCCTGCCCGTGCGGCAGCTCCAGCGGTTAACCCTGCGCTCTCAGGCATGATTACGGCTGTGGGGCTGTCCAACTTGCAGTTCGTGGACATGAACTCCTCCCGCAACCTGTTCGTGCTCGGATTTTCCATGTTTTTTGGGCTCACGCTGCCCAATTACCTGGAGTCCAACCCCGGCGCCATCAACACAGGTACCTCCACTAGTCCTAATGTCCGGGGGTGGGAGATGCGTGGTGGGCTCTGGGCACGGCTCCCTCCCTCAAAGGCACCCTACGACTGAGCCACAAATCCTGCCCAACTTTGGGTGTGAAGCAGCCGAGAAGCGAATTAGCAGCTGTCCTTGACGGAGACCCTTTTTATGAACAGGCGTGGAGCTTTACATGTGCTCATTTAACATGCACAACAGCGTCCAGAGACAGATACTACTGTCCTCTCTAGAGGAGGAAAGTGAGGCTCAGGGAAGTTAAATGATGTGTCCCAAGACAACAAAACTGGGATTATAGGTGTGAACGTTGGGATTTGTACTGTTTCATCACCATGCCTGCTCAAAGAAGTCAACAAACTGCACAAGTGGTAACAAAGTCCCTGGGCTCTGTCTCCAGACCACGCCAAGATGCCCATTGTCCCTTGGCCTATTCCACAGGCGTTCCTGAAGTGGACCAGATTCTGACAGTGCTGCTGACCACAGAGATGTTCGTGGGTGGGTGCCTCGCTTTCATACTGGACAACACAGTGCCAGGTATGGGTCAGCCCCGGGAGGGGCACACAGGACTAGGCTGGGCTCATCTGCACTCCGACAGATGGCCCCTCAATCAGAAGTGTGGCCAGCACCCAGGCAATGCAGGCCCTGCAAGGAGAAGCAGGGACACAGGCTGGCGGAGTGCCCACTGGCTGGAGGGAGAGACACTGGTGGGACAGAGGCAGAGACATGCCCTATAGGGCTTGAAGAGGGTGGGTCTAGGGGAGTCTTTCCCGGGCCCTCTGGGTTGTTTCCTCTCCATTTCTTGATAGCCACCAATTGGAAGGGTGCCTTTGGGAGCCTTTGCTTTCTTCCATTAGGACAGATACAAATGAAGCAGTAGTTTGGGTGGCAAAACCCACTCCAAATATGCCAGCAACCCGTCACGCCTGACTACTAGGAGAGCCCCTAACATTCTCTTTGGAATTGGGGCTTTTTGCAGGGATTGTGGAGGATACTTAGCGTGGGCCCGAGAACCCTCCTGGCCCATGTTCAGGTGCCCTGTAAAATATAAAAACTAAATGCCACCAGTTGTATTAACAAGTAACAAGTTTTCTATGTTCTAACGAGGAACAAGCATAGTTAACATTTACCAAATATTTACTGTGGGTCTGGAATGAAACTTTAGGTCTCGCTTAATTCTCAAAAACTATCCTGTTAGGCAGAGACTGTCAACACCATTTCACAAGGAAACAGAATTAGAGAGGTTAAGTGACTCACCAAAGTTCACACCTGCAGATTTAAAAGGTTGCAAATCAGATTTTAACGAAGTCCATCAGATGCAGTCTATGGCTTGTGTCTCAGCCACTGCACCATACTGCCTCTGTTGGAGGGTTTCAGGGGACCTGGAAGATCAGGGAAAGCTCTGTGGGGGCAGAGGTTAAAGACTGCATCAGTCCAGGGAGAGGAAGGATGGGAGTACCAGGATGATGGCCCTCCATTCCCCACCACTTACCAGCCTAAACACAGCTGCAGGGCTGGAGCATGGGCAGGAAGGGCCTAGGTACCAGGGCCTTTTTTTTTTTAAGATTTTATGTATTTGACAGAGACACAGCGAGAGAGGGAACACAAGCAGGGGGAGTGGGAGAGGAAGAAGCAGGCTTCCCACAGAGCAGGGAGCCCAATGGGGGGCTCGATCCCAGGACCCTGGGTTCATGACCTCAGCCAAAGGCAGATGCTTAACTGAGCCACCCAGGCGCCCCACCAGGGCCCTTTTAGGGATTTTAGCATAAGATGATGTGAGAACTCTTGGTAGTAGCTACCCCACCGACTAAAGGGAGGTACCTGCCGTTCCCCATTGAGAGGAAGCCAGGCTGCGGACCAGAGACAAGGAAGTGGCAGTCTCAGTGCTCAGGGAATCTGGGAAGATGGAAGGCATCAGATGGACAGCTGTACACAGAGGGGCTTCTTTGTGATCTAGATAGCTGGATTAAGCTACCCAGATGTTAAGAGCCTTAGACTGCCTTACTGAGTTCTTCACATCTATATCCTTCAACGCAACAGCCTATCAGCAACCATCTCTGCCAAGGATCATCACATATGTTGTACCACATAATCTTCAGTGGTCCTTCAATGTGCATGGATGAGGAATCTGAAGCTCAGAGCGGTCAAGTAACTTGCCTAAGGTCACCCAACCTGAATTCACAACCAGGTCTGGCTAAATCAGAAGCCAGTCCTTAATCATGGAATCACACACTTTCTTCTGTGTGATGGGCATTTTTGCTGATGGGCCGCTTTGCTTTTGCTCTTTCCCCATCTACAGCCAAACTTAGAAAAATTACTCCTAGGAAAGGTAGGATGTGTGTTAAAACTGTCTTTTGTAGGAGGGTTGAAAAAAATCACAATATTCTTATATTTTAACCAGAGAAAAACAAAACCACTCAGTTTCTATTTTTGTGACTTTTGGATCACAAATTACTTCAGTAAATGCTAGTGGGGGCTAGTGGAAACGTCTTTTCACTAGATTTACACTCCAACAATCTTCTTTCACCCCAGCCCTCTTGTAAAAACCCCAGACCTCACGCACCCCTCCCCCACCTGAGGGAGCATTCCCCTAAATGTAAATAATCTTTTGTGTATCCACACTACCAACAAAGATTTTACTTGGCTTGACTGAGGTTTGTGTTATAAAAATGAGTTTATTTTCCAAATATGGAATCCTAATATTGAATATTAATACTGATTATAGTGTTTCTAAATAGCCCTCCCTGCCCCCAATGCAGACTGGGCACTGTTGGTCCTCATCAGCTTAGCACATGCTAGGCACATACTAAAGATGTAAGTTGACAATTACTTAACCTTTCTGCCTGTTTCTTCATCATAAAAATGTGTGTTAGTGCCTATATGCCTTCCACAGGTATGTTTTGAAGAAATGAGATAATGAAATTAAAGCACTTAGCACAGAGACTGGCAAACTACAGACACACAATAAATACTAATTATAACCAGTATTAGGGTTTCCTAGAGCTCTGGCCAAGTTAAAACCCGAGAAATCATGGATTCAGTAATCTTTCAGTCCCAGAAAATACTGGAGAATGAAGACAATGGATTCCAGAAATGTCTCAGGACTAGGTTATGGAGGTATGGAGGGGAGGTAGTGGAGGGCTGCTGGTCTTGATAAGCTCACTGTCCTATTTCAGGGAGCCCAGAGGAACGAGGTCTGATACAGTGGAAAGCTGGGGCCCATGCCAACAGCGAGATGTCTACCAGTCTCAAGAGCTATGACTTCCCCATCGGGATGAGCGTGGTAAAAAGGATTGCCTTTCTGAAATACATTCCTATCTGCCCCGTCTTCAAAGGATTTTCTTCAAGGTCGAAAACCCAGCTTCCAGTTCCAGAAGACACTCCAGAAAATATACAAACTGGAACTGCATGCACCAAAGTCTGAAAAATTACTCCTAGGAAAGGTAGGACGTGTGTTAAGACTGCCTTTTGTAGGAGGGTTGAAAAAAAAAAAATCACAATATTCTTATATTTTAACCAAAGAAAAACAAAACCACTCAGTTTCTATTTTTGTGACCTATTTGATTGTCTTCAAGGGAAAGGTAGACTGGGTAAAAAGTCAAAGTATGGATTTTGAGTGGAATTCCTTAGCTATTTCATAATGAGAACAGAACTTTCCAACTGGTGTGGGTCACTAGGAGGTTACAAGTATGCTGACATATTGACCCCTTCAGCCTTCTGAGTAGGCAGGAAATGGGTCAACTGTAGCCCATGAGCCATAAACCCTAGCCACAGGTAGCCCCATCAGTGTACTCCAATACGCTAAAAAAACACAAAAAACAAAAAACACCAAAAACCCCACACTTTATGACATGAAATAGGTTAATACACTGCACAAGAACAGGAAAATTTCTCTCACATATGCTGCCTTGTTTCAGTAGTGATAACATAAAAATCCCTAAAATCAAAACAGGATGACTTCAATTACCCTAAAACTATGCTGCATAGGCCTGATGGGATGATCTGTTCAAAAGCCTTCAAAATGGAATAGCTGATGCTCTGAAACTTTCCATCTCCACCTGTAATGTGGATGCCTGACTCTCCAGTTAAACAGCTAAGTAGTTTCAATATGCGGTTTCCCTGACAATCAAGAAAAGTTCCAACAAAATGAGAGCTAAGCCTAGAACACTCCTCTCTTAGTAAAACAATTACTTAAACAGAATTTTCTATGTGCCAGGGGCTCTCTTAAGTGCTTGATGTGTATTAATCACACAATCCTGAGACAGACAGTTATTACTGCCATTTTATTTTTATTTTTGATTTTTTAAAATAAATTTTTTAAAGATTTTATTTATTTGAGAGAGTACAAGCAGGGGGAGGGGCAGAGGGAGAAGCAGACTCCCCACTGAGCAGGGAGCCTGATGTGGGGCTCAATCCCAGGACCCCGAGATCATGACCTGAGCCAAAGGCAGATGCCTAACCAACCGAGCCACCCAGGTGCTTCTTTATTTTTTTTAGTAATCTCTACACCCTGAGCATGGGGCTCAAACTCACAACTCTGAGATCAAGAGTCACATGCTCTTCCAAATGAGCCAGCCAGGTGCCCCTGTTAATACTACCATTTTAAACAGGTGGAAACTAAGGCACAGAAAAGTTCAGTGACTTGTCCATGATCACTGGATTCACATCCAGGAAGTCTGGCTAGTCTTTGCTCTTAATCATTAGGTTACAATGCCTCTCTAATTCAAGTTTATAATCTCCAGTTACATTGCACTATGGTAATTTGGCAGTATGTGGAAATGAACCCATTTGCCCCATCTGAGCTTAAGAGAGAGAGGATCTGTAAGCCTCATACATCTGGCAGCCTGTTGTGCCACTTGTGGTACTTAGCTGTTAAAGACTGAGGGGACTGGCTGTATCATGGCTCCAAAAAGAAAAGAGAGCCAGGGGTGCCTTGGTGGCTCAGTCGTTAAGCGTCTGCCTTTGGCTCAGGTCATGGTCCCAGGGTCCTGGGATCGAGCCCCGCATCGGGCTCCCTGCTCCGCGGGAAGCCTGCTTTCCCTCTCCCACTCCCCCTGCTTGTGTTCCCTCTCTCGCTGTGCCTGTCAAATAAATAAATAAAATCTTAAAAAAAAAGAAAGTCTGGGGCGCCTGGGTGGCTCAGTCGGTTAAGTGTCTGCCTTCGGCTCAGGTCATGATCCTGGAGTCCTGGGATTGAGCCCCACATTGGGCTCACTGCTCAGCGGGGGGTCTGCTTCTCCCTCTCCCTCTGCCGCTCCCCCAGCTTGTACTCTCTCCCTCTCAAATAAATGAAATCTTTAAAAAAAAAAAAAAAAGAAAAAAGTCAAGTAGGATTATCTCTGCTTCAGAGTTTCTTAAAGATCTGCTTGTGTTCCTCTCTCACTGTGTCTCTCTGTCAAATAAATAAAATCTTAAAAAAAAAAAAATAGGCTTAAAGATCTACCTATTTTGGATTGCCCTGGCTGGCTCTGTCAGAACATGCAACTCTTGATCTCAGGGTCGTCAGTTTGAGCCCATGGGGATCAAGAGTCGCATGCTCTACTGACTGAGCCAGCCAGGCACCCCAAGATTACTAAAACAACAACAAAAAACCTGTTTAGTTTATTGTCTTTTAATGGAGCTATTAAAAAACACTGGGGCACCTGGGCACACCAAAGGACCATCCCCCAACCCCCACCCCTGGAGAATGTGAGCCAGAACAGACAACATGGCCTTTTTAATTTTGAGCCCAACAAACTCAAGAAAACCAGAGGGCATTATCAACAACTGAGTAGGGCCATGAGGCAGAACTGTATGTAGAACCAGAGAATTGCTATATGGTTGACAGCCTATCCCAAAATAAAGATTAGCCACGAACATTATATAAATATGTTCGTGAGGGGAAAATAGAGATGGTCCAGGTGAATCAAAATAGCAAACCATTCCAATCAGACCAGCAATGGCTTGTCAAGGGCAGAAGCCAAAAGCGATTATACTAGAGTAAGGTTACCATTATACTGGTCGGCCAAAAAGTTTCTTAACATGGATATCTACAACTGCCCTGACACTGACTGCTGCCTGAGGCAATCAAGGTGGGTTACAGAAGGGGATACAGGGTTTATTTTACTGCTGTATTCTGGACAGATACATGCACAATGACATACTTGACACTATGGAATCTAATAAAGCCTGCTCTCTCAGCAAATCTTGCCAGCAGGGTTGTCCTGAAGTACTGAGCCCACACTAAAGTGAGTATCAATCACCACAGGAGAGTCTGCATTCCAGCACCAATAAACACAAGCCATCAGCTCAGTTCTACTATTATTTATTTTTTTAAATATTTTTGAAAAAATATAATTTTTTTACAATATTTTCAACTTAAACACTATTCACACTGAACACGTATGGCAGCTTAACCTACCCAAGTATGAAGTTTAAGAAGCCAAAACTGTTCTAGCTTTGTTAAAAGAAAAGTTGTGCTGTAGACTATTGTAGTGATGGTTAACAAAGCAAGGAAAAGCACCACTCAAATCATGTTACCATTACTTTGTTCAGTTGGATTATGGTGGGTCAAATGTTGCACTTCACATAGGCATAGCTATGATGCAGTGACTCCTTGGAATAAGATGCAATTCTCAAATTACATACTTCCTCAGGTGTAACATTAGAAGAATTCACTAATTCTTCCGTGATAAAATACCATCGAAGTCAGGACTAGTTCTCATCTGATTACTACCTTATAACCTCAGTAAACCAAAGATATACTTGTCTATAAAGAATTATTTCAAATTAACAAGGCGTTCTTCAGAAAAAGGAGATCCTTTTTGATAGTTACAAAGGCAAAAAATATGCCTAACAACTAGACCTTAATTTAAATGTACTCATTTTTATAAAGTTTAGACGTTAACAAGCGTTCGCTAACCCTAAGGGACTAGTTTAGCCTCAAAAAAGACAATTCACTAAGATTTAGAGGTCATTTTAATTTGGTGCTTTGTCACAACTTGACTGGTGCTTCTTTCCTCGCTGTCTTCACATCAAGCCATGGGGCCAATTCTATTTTCAGTAAATGTTTGACAGCTTATTACTTAATAACAGTCTCAGCACTTTTATTAAGCATGCAAGACTAACAAAACTTTGGCAATGCATAAGTGTAACACAGTGACAAGAGAGAGCTTTAACAATTAAGTCTTCTAATACTGCCTTCACAGTGTGGAAATTGTGCTACATCCACCAAAAGAGGGCCCCGTCTACTCAAATATTTTAGTACTTCACCCCAGGAACAAACTCCTTTGCATTTGGATTCAGATTGCTCTTGACCTGGAAAATAAGTACATAAAAAAGCAAGTTCATTAACAGATGGCTTCAGAAGCATTCAACCCAGATCCACATGCAAAAATATCTTCCAAAAAATATAAAACCAAAGAACTGAGATGGTAAGGTTAAACTTAACCCCCAAAATCTATCTATAGCAGGGAAAGAAGGAATCAGATGTAAACTATTTATTTATATGAAAACTTATCACCTTCTAAAGAGAAAGTAGGAATTGAAATTAAATTTGCTGAAGTGTAACCAGACCCACTAACTTCACACAAACTAAAAAGGTGTCATAGAATACGGAATTCTGTTAACTATGATATTTTATTTTAACCGTTCCATACGATGCAAACATATTAAACAAGTGTTGAAATGATGATTAAAGGGGATTGAGGAATTGTTTATGGATTAATTTTGCTCATGATCCTCACTGAAAATATGGAGTTATCTTTCTAAAATTGCTGTATTCTGATTCTCCCACAGGAAGCAAGGTTTATAACAGGAAAAGAAAACTACATGAGGAATCTGAAGAACTAAGATGGAATTTCGGCTCTGCCCCTAACTTCCTATGAAAGCCTGGATAAGTCATTCTCTCTGGGACTCTTTTTTTGCCTAAGTTAGGGGAAGAATGGGCCAAAGTCTCTAAGAGCCATTATTCTATACCTCTAAATCTTTATTTTCCTAGGCAGACATGTCAGCATATTGAGAATAGCTGGAAATTTGCCTCTACCACAGTTGATAAAAGATGAAAAGAAATCAAGATGTATTCCAGGCCCTGAAATGTAGGAATGCTGAGAGGCTTTTAGATAGAATCTGAACCCCCTTATCACTGACTTCAAGACCAAAGTATATTAAATAACATGTTGGAGCAATAATTTAATTTTAGTTTCATAATTTATACACAACCATTTCCTTGGACAGGACATAGTCTCACTTCTCTTAAGGGAATTATATCTAAACTTTAAAAATGTGAGGTTTAAATAAAAAAACAGTGTTCTTGAATGTGTAATCTTTTGGCAGCTACAAAAGAATGAGAAGGAATTAACAATCTTAAATAGACCAAGTCAAGTCGAACAAACCAGTTTCTAGGCAATAATACTGGGTCCACATTACAGTTATACATTATGACCAGCAAAGGACTTTACTCATCAGAGCAACCAGGGTTATTTGTGGAATGACTAATGTAACCATAAGCAAGCATATCTCAACAGACTATTCATATCACACATCTGCTCAATTGGG